GAATGCCCGGAATACCTTGCTGTCCCACAGGCCCTGGCGGACCCATCTTGCCATATCCTGGTGGCCCTTGGGGACCTGCAGGAGAGAGACGTGAAAGAGAGGTGAAGAGGGGAGGAGGCCAGTTTGTCCAAGTCCAGTCCAGGGTGGGACTGGATGAGTCCAGCTGAGCCATCACAGCATGGAGGGTATGGATGGACTGGGTCTGGTCTGTGTTTGACATCATTTGGAAGAGCCATGCCAGGAGCAGACTTCTCTGGGGCCTTTCTTTTCATGCTGCTCCCTGGCCCTGCAGCGGGAGGAGCTCACCAGCTCGTTCCATGCCAAATGCAAGCAGAAGGTGCTTACCTGGTGGACCCGGCAGGCCACTATCTCCCATCGTGCCAAGGCCGACCTCTCCCTTCTGGCCCTTTGCTCCTGGCTCACCTGGGACAACAGAGAGCTGTGAGAAATTCCAGGCAGAGCACCGCATGGATATCAGGCAATCGCGTGGGACTCAGCATGAGTGATGGGGTCAGGAAGACAGAGCAAACCTGCCAGTAGCCACTGAAGGCACTGACTAGAGGGGTGGGATTTGTTTGCTTCTTCAGCCAGTGGCACCATCTGCCTGACCCTTGCAGCCACAATCATCAGGAAGCAAAGGGAGGGAAGAAAGGGCTTCCAGAAGAATGGTTACCTCTCATGCCTGGCACGCCTTGTCGCCCTTCTCTCCCGATCTGTCCAGGGAGCCCAGGCGATCCAGGAGGTCCTGCCCGCCCTGGCAAGCCGTCTTTCCCAGGAGGCCCTGGTCTTCCTGGGGAGGCAGCCATCTCCACAGGGAACTGCATCCTGGAGGTGTAGTATGCCATCCTCTCTGCAGAGAGAGACAGGGTCAGCCCAGCTTCCCCAACATGGATGTCCTTCTCCATTTGGAGGGCAAACCCCAGGCTCCTAAGAGAGAGGGCAAACGCACTGCCCACGTTGCACTGCAGACCTTGCAGACCTTAATTTGAAGGTAGCGTTGCCTTTAGAAGGACGAGGGGCCAATGCCACCCCTCTGGGCTTTGAACGTCCGGGCCCAGAGAGTGCAGGTCATTTCAGACCCGATGCTCTGACCACTGAGTTGCTGCTGCGTTCAGCCCCACACCTCTCTTTTCCCATTCCCCCAATGCTGATTACCGTCAAACATTTTGGTCAGCTCCTGGCGGATGAACCTCTTGATTTCATCATAATTCACCACGTCTCCCTGGAGAAAGGGGATGATGGGAAAGGAAAACGTCAAGCAAAATTCATCTGCTCTCCAAGCTGGGAGAAAAGCACGGGGGTTAAACAACTTGTCCGACAGCCCACAGGGGCTCACCCCTCTCACCACTTACCACTGAGCCTGGGAGTCCCGGCATGCCAGGGCTGCCGGCAGGTCCTGGGGAGCCTGGTGTTCCTCTCTCACCAGCAGGGCCACGTGGTCCCATGGGGCCCATGGAGCCACTTTTCCCTGGTCCTCCGGGCATGCCGGCTCGTCCCTTTTCTCCAGGATACCCTCTCTCTCCTGGAATCCCAGCTTCACCCTGGAATAAAGCAGGTCCGATGCAGAGCTCTCTCCAGCTGCTCCTTGCCCTTCCCAACCTGGATTATGCATCTATATGACAGCAGCTTGCACAGCGACTTGTCCCCCAGACAGGGGGAACATGCACCTACACTCAGGAATGTGGCCCCAACTCTGCAGCTGAGCAAGCCCGACCTGCTCTTACCTTCTGACCAGCTGGTCCAAAAAGTCCTGGTTTCCCTGGTGGGCCCTGGAAGGGTGCAGAAGGAAGCACTAGTCAGGGGAAGAATTAATGACCATTGTTTGCTCTGGAGGTTTTGGTGCCAGGGTTTAAACCCATGGAGAGCGGACACAGGTGTCATGATTACACCCTAGCTAATGTACCACCATGAGCTGCAATGCTACAAAACAGCCACCTCCTCCAATTTAACGGCAAACCAGGAAGTCCCGACTTCCAGGAAACCGGGGATGAAACATTGCCCTTGGTGGTAGAGAGCCGGTAGTTCAGGAAACTTTGTGGACATGGGAGAAAGCTCCATTTAATGCAATTTAATGCAATTTAATGCAATTCGATTCCACTCTGTTCAAGTCTCTGAATGCCCATTCATAGATGTTAGGGGCTGGAAGGGACCTTGCAAGATCATCGGGTCC